TGCATGTATGTCTGAATGAGGGTGTTGTATCTCCTGGAACTGGAGTTACAGACTTGTGAGGTATTATTCGGGTGCTGGGGATTGGACCTGGGTCCTCTGGAAGAACAGCCAATGCTCTTAATCACTGAGCCATCTCCCCAGCCCCAAGGGTTTCATTATATTTTACAACTCTTACCAAAATATTTTTTTGTACTCTGGTTAATAGATGTGGCTCTGTTCATGACATTTTTCAACTCTTACCAAAATATTTTTTTGTACTCTGGTTAATAGATGTGGCTCTAAGTTTTAATGACCAGCTTAGATGAAAAAAGTGCCCTCGCTGAACTGTGTAAATATAACTGCTTTCCAATTTCTGGGGGCAGAGGTCTGAATGGAGTCCAGTGTTGTGAACATGTTAGATAAGAACTCTGTGATGGCTAATGTTGGTTTTCAACTTGACTTATCTGGAAAGAGGGAGCCTCCATCAGATTAGATTGGTCTGTGGGCATGTCTATGGGGCATTTTCTTGATTGCTAATTGATATAGAAGGGCCCAGCTTACTGTGATCAGTGCCACCCCTAGGCAGCTAGTTCTAGGTTGTATAAACAAGCAAGCTGAGCAAGCTATAAGGGGCAATCCAGTAAGCAGTGTTCCTGTATGATCTCTGCTTCAGTTCCTGCCCCCAGGTTCTATAAGCCAGAAGTCTAAAGTAGGCCTCAGACAAGGGATGTAGCTCAATGGTAGAACACTTGCCTAGCATGTGTGAGACCCTGACTACAGTCCCCAGCATAGCAAAACAGGACAAGATGGGTCTCTCTTGGACTGTTCCAATCAGGGTCACTGGGCTGCAATTGGTTCTTCCTAGATACCCGGAGGCTCATAGCTCTCATCTTTCATCTCCCAAATCAGTAATGTTGGGCTGAGTCCTCATGTGGCCATTTCTTTTGCTCTTCTGTTTCCACGTAGAAACCACTGAGACATGGCCAGCATGGCTCTGCACATCCCAGCACTTGAGAGGAAGGCCAGGCAGATCTCTGGATTCCCAGCCAGCCTGGTCTACAGAGTGAGTTCAAGGACAGTCAGGGCTACACAGAGAAACCATGTCTCAAAACAAATGAGAGAGTGAGAGAGAGAGACAGAGACAGAGAGAGAGAGAGTCAGAGACAGAGACACAGAGACAAGAGAGACAGAGAGGGGAGAGAGAGAAGAGAGAGAAAGAGAGGAGAGAGAGAACCATATGATGACATTGGATCCACCTGATGATGCAAGATACCATCCCATCTCAGGGACAAGTAATTAGCAAGTAATTTGATTTTAATTGACCTTTTCCATCTAACATATTTGAGGTAAGGCCTCCTCTTTCTGGCATAAGCTCTGGCCTTTTCCTTCTTCCAGCATGAGGCATGAGATTCCTGGGAAAATTCCAGTTTCTTTTTTTTTTTATTTTTTGGGTTTTTTTGTTTTGTTTTGTTTTGTTTTGTTTTTTTAAGACAGGGTTTCTCTGTGGCTTTAGAGGCTGTCCTAGAACTAGCTCTTTATCCCGATGCCTCTGCCTCTCTAGTGCTGGGATTAAAGACGTGTGCCACCTGCACATGGCAAATTCCAGTTTCTTGAGCACCATCTTTACAATTATTTCTGTAGACAAATGATATCTTCATTGCTTGCCAGGGGAGGAAAAAAAAGCATCCATACACATTAAATAAATAAATAAACACATAAAATAAATAAAAAATATTAATTTTTAAATTTTTTATTAAAAGTATTTTCAAAACATGTTTCCAAACAAAGATTAGTATCTAAAATAATAACTAAAATAAAAATAATTAAGGCATGAGCATAAGACTTAATAAACCTTTCTCCAAAGAAGAAACACAAATATCAATAAGTATATGAAGAGATAAGGAGCCAGGCGTTGGTAGCACATGCCTTTAATCCCAGCACTCAGGAGGCAGAGGCAGGCGGATCTCTGTGAGTTCGAGGCCAGCCTGGTCTCTAGAGCGAGTGCCAGGATAGGCTCCAAAGCTACACAGAGAAACCCTGTCTTGAAAAACAAAAAAACAAAAAAAAACAACAAAAAAAAAAGAGCTAAGGAGAGGGAAAATTGGGACATTATTGTTTAGTAGGTATGGAGTTATGGAGTTTTGGGTTATCTTGTATGTATGAGAGACAGTGTCTCGCTATTTTAGCCAGGATGGTCTAGAACTCCTGAACTCAAATGATCCTCCCACTCAGTCTCCTGAGGACCTAGAGTTACAGACAGATATGCATGGTCATGTCCAGCTTCAGCGGGCCAATTTTATAAGGTAAAAAGAATATGGAGATGAAAGGTGATACGTTTGTTTTCATGGTTGTGCAAAATACTTGTGGAAAGAACTTCAAAGGAGAAAGGACTTGTTTTTGGCTCACAGTCTCAGAGATGTCAACCTATGATTAACTGATACTGTTGTTTCCAGGCCTGTGATGGAGAAGCACTTTATGGCAAAAGGGTGTGGCAGAGTAAAACTACTCACCTCATGGCAGCTAGAAAATAGAGACACACCAAGAGAGAGACACAGAGAGAGGAAGGAAGGGCCTGAGGACAAGATACACCCTTCAAAGACTTGATCCCAGCAAGCCACTAACTTTGGCTTGGCCCCACTTTTTATTTAGTCATAAACTCATCAAAGAACCCCATAGGTGAAGCTAGCTTACCTCCCAATAGCACCACTGCTCTGGCTAAAGCCTTTCAATTCATGAACCTTTGGGGGACAATTCACATCAAAGCCTAACACTGGGGTTACTCCAGGAGAGCCCGGCAAGCCCTGTTCCTGTCCTGGCCCTTGGGTGCGTCCACAGTTCATGGGCTGATCAGGATGTTAAGTTCTCAGTGCACTCCAAGCCCCCTTGCAGCAACTTTCTCTCTGAAGTTCCTTAATGCCAAGGTCACAGCTATTCCTGCAGGGCCAGCTATCAGCTACCCAGTCCTGTAAGTCTGCCTTGAGATTTATGATTAACAGTGAAGATACTGGAGCCTGGGAACAAGGAACTGAATTCCTCCAGTCCCAAAGTTGTCATGGTTTATGAAGGGCAGGTGGTGGAGGGTGGTTTCCCTTAGCAACTCTATAAATCCTAACCCCTGTGGCTCCTGTCTTGAATGGACCCTTGAAGGGCTTCGGGGAGGTGGGGTGGAGGGAAGGAAGGAGGGTGGAAAAAATGAAGAGACAGGAAACTGAAGCAGAAGATAGAGAGAACAGATCTAACATCCCCCAGGTGCGACCACAGCGTTGTGACATTTCACCAGCGGTGTGGAAACAACTGTGAAGCCCCCAAATGAGAAGTGTGCTTGAGATAAGTCACTGGAAAGCGTGGGGGGAGTTCAACGGTCCATACATCTCCAACGCAGAGACTCCAAGATCCTCAAATCAGATTTCCCAGAGGAGCTAGTCAACAGATTTAAGGTGGCCCATACAGGAGTCCACCTTTAATCCCAGGTATACTAGGCCATGAGGGCGGATGGTTCAGGTGCCTGAGCACATCAGTGACCAACTCAGCCAGAAGCAGGAGGAAGGTTAAAAGTGGGATTAAGAGGAGCCGGTGAGTTGGCAAGGGTTTTGACGGGCAGTGGGTCATATCTGTGTCACGGGCTGGAAGGACAAAAATGGGATTAGGTCAAGGAGGAAGGTTGGCAAAGGTCTCATAGGCAGTGGGTCATATCTGTGTCGTGGGCTGGCATTAAGAGAAAAGGAAATCTGGCTGGAGGGACAGCTTGGCAGGAAAGCACAAGGACCTGAATTTGATCTCCAAAACCCGTGTTTTTCAAAAAGGCTGTGTATGGTGGCATGTATGCATCTCATCTCAGTGCTGGAGGAGTGGAAAAAGGAGGAGCCAAGGTTTGTTGGTTTGCTGGTCAGCCAGCCTCCTCTACTGGCCAGTGAGCCTGAGGAATGAAACCAAGGCTCTCTCCTGACCTCTACACACATGCATACATATGTACATCCGAATCCACATGGGCACCTGGACACACACACACACACACACACACACACACACACACACACACACACACTACAGGGTGATCTTACAGCACAGAAAGGGACACAGAAGACACAGGGCTAGCTCTTGACCTTTAATTATAAGCAATGCTGGAAAGAGCTTGCGTGGTCAGTTACCCAAGGCTGGCTATCGTCATGACTCCTCCCTCTGGACATGCAATAGCTTTGCTGCATGGGTGTTGGGTTATGGGATGGGGCTATAGCTCAGATGGCAGTGTTGCCAAGGATTCGAAAAGTCTTGGGTTCAATCCTGAGCACCACATAACCTGGTGTGGTAGCACGCCCCTGTAACATTGGCAGCAATGACATGATGGCACGCCCCTGCAACAACAGCAGCTCTCGGAGATGGATGCAGAAAGGTCGGACGTTCAAAGTCACCCTCAGCTACACAGCAAATTCGAGGCTGCCTTGGGATAGACAAGACCATCTTCCAAAACTATGTTGTGTTTAGTTGTGTCGTCCCTCCTCCAATGGGGTGTTTTGTGGCCCTAGTTCTATGCAGACTCTGAAAGTGTCGTGATTCTAAAATTAATCTGACCCTATGAACTTCAGAAATAGTCTGCAGTCTGGCTCCTTTACTTCCATTCTCTGGAAGGGATGCGTGAGAGAGGAGACATGCCAGAGACAGATGACGGCATCTAGTGTCCAGGCCTGTGAGCGTGCAGCACCCTCCCCTGTAAAAGCAGAACATGGGTTAGCTACTGGCTTCTTGAGTGAGGGTGGTGGAAGCCAAGGAGGGCACGTGCCTGTAAAGAAGAGCAGCACTGGGTTTGCCCCTTCAGTCTCTCCAGAGTGCGGAAAAGAAAAGGGGGTGGAGGCTGCTGTGAGAAAAAAAAAAAAAAAAAAACCCCAAACCAGCCACAACTGCCGTCAGAGAGTGGCTTACCACCCAAGTGGAGGCACTGTGGTTGTTGCCCGGAGCACAAAGGTGGCACTAGTGCCAAGGCACCTGCAGCTGGGGCTCAGGAAAGATCTCCCTGGGCAGGAGCCATGGCTTGGCCAACTCCCTACTGTCTCTGTCTTCTGGGGACCTTGGTAGGGCTCTCAGCTACCCCAGTTCCCAAGAGCTGTCCAGACAGACATTACTGGACTCGGGGAGGACTGTGCTGCCAGCTGTGTGAGCCAGGTAAGAGGAGGCCTCAGCAGGGCTGGGGAGATACTGTTTAAGATGAAGAGAGCTGCATGGGGGTGAGGTTGAGCTCAAGCAAAGGCAGGCAGCCTGCAGAGCCTGGGGGTATCACCTCGCCTGGACAATGATTCCGGACCCTTTGCTCACAGGTACTTTCTTTGTAAGTGACTGTAGCCAGAACAGAACAGCTGCCCTGTGTGACCGGTGTACACTGGGTGTCTCCTTCTCTCCAGACTACCACGCCCGGCCCCACTGTGAAAGCTGTAGGCACTGTAACTCTGGTAAGAGGGGCAGGGTGTGAAGGTGGCACTGAGCAAGTCTAGGGCTGCAAGGCTGGTGGGACTGGTGTGCAGAAGCCAGAGGAGTTGGAATCAGAGAGCTTCAGCTGCTTAAAGGCTCATGGGAAGTGGAGCCAATGCTGGAACACTGCGTGCCTTGGGCAGGGCATGCGGGGAAATACCTAGTGTTTCATGGAAGATATGTAGACTTGAAGGATCAGTAAGAAGGACTCTGTAGACAGGACTGAGACAATAAAAGGCTGATGTCGCCTGGTGCAGTGGCACATGTCCACAGTCCCAACTACAAGGCAGGGAGAGGCAGAGGATCACTTGATCACAGGAGTTCAAGGCTAGCCTGACCCTGTCTTAAAAACAAAAACAACAACAACAACAACAAAAAAAAAAAAAACCCAAGATGGCTTAGTAGACAAAGATACTTGCTACCAAGCCTGGCGACCTGAGTTCATTTCCTGGGCCACATGGTAGAAGGAAAGAATTAACTTGTAAGTTGTCCTCTGAACTCATATGTGTGCTTGAGTACACACAGAAATTAAAAAATATCATTTTCCCAGTGTGGTAGCGCACACCTTTAATCCCAGCACTTGGGAGGGAGAGGCAGGTGGATCTCTGTGAGTTCAAGGCCAGCCTGGTCTACAAGTCAGGTTCCAGGACAGTCAGAGCTGTTACACAGAGAAACCCTGTCTTAGAGAGAGAGAGAGAGAGAGAGAGAGAGAGAGAAAGAGAGAGGAAGAAGGAGGAGAAGGAGGAGAAGGAGGAGAAGGATGAAGAAGACAAAGAAGAAGAAGAGAAAGGGTGAAAAATGTAATTTAAGGGGAGATAGTTTCAGAAACTCAGGTCTCAGAAAAGCGACTTTCAGCCAATGACCCAACCACCTGTGTTCCTACAGTGTACATTTGCAGGCCAGTTGTTCAGAACTCAGAGTTAGGAAATAACACCAGAAGCCATAGGGTAACAACCTTTTTACACAAAAGCCATTTTGGGGGGGAAAGCAAATAGCTCTGTCCTTTCTCTTAACTTATAAATTTATAGTTTGCAAATGAAAAGGTAGGATATATCTGTTTTCAAACTCTGCTGTCATGTTCCCTCCTCTGCTAGGGATTCAGGAAGTCTGCGTTATAGTACACTAGAATAGTGCACCTTAAAGAGGCCCCTTTGAAATAGCGGTTGCCGGCAAGACACTTTGTTGAACATAGGGGGAAAAATTAATTGCTGTTGAAAAATCTGTAGGAAGTAGATATTGATTTTAATAACGTCAGAAGAGAATACGTTCTGGAAGTGGAGGAAACTGGATAGTAAATCCTAACAGCAGCAATGTAACAGCATCATCCCCGATGGTTACACGAGGCAAAAATAACAACAAAAGCCTTGTCTGTGGGAATTTCAGATAATTCCTACAGAAATATTACACTGTGCCTAAATCAAACAGTTATTTTTCCAAGCCTTAAAAGTTTCATATAAGTAAAAGTTTTTTTTTTCTTTTCTATGTCTCAAGACTTAGTTGTGACTAAACTGTGTGGCTTCACTAAGTTGTCTTTTAATATTATATTCTCTCTCTCTCTCTCTCTCTCTCTCTCTCTCTCTCTTGATTTGATTTTTCAAAACAGGGTTTCTCTGAGCAGTCCTGGCTGTTCTGGAACTCACTTTGTAGATCAGGCTGTTCCTGGAACTTGGAGATCTACCCACCTCTGCTACCCAAGTGCTGGGACTAAAGGTGTGTGCCACTACTACCCAGTTGGGCCAGGCATGGTGTCACATGCCTTTAAACCCAGCACTTGGGAGGCAGAGGCAAGCAGATCTTTGTGAGTTTGAGGCCAGCCTGGTCTATGTAGCTAGTTCCAGGACAGCCAGAGACACAGAGAAATTCTGTCTCAAAAAAAAGAAAAATCTTTCTCCCATAACTTGGTGGTTGGGCTGGATCCTTGGCACAGCAATCAAGGATATTAGTCATAGCTCAGGGCTCACTTCGGCAGCACATATACTGAAACTGGAACAATACAAAGGAGATTAGCATGGCCCTGTGCAAGGATGGCACACAGATTCACGAAATAGTCCATATTTTTATACACTAAGGAGAACAAAATCATAATAAAAGCAACATGCTTTGTTGTTGCCTGGAGCACTACATAGACTAAGCTGGCCTCTTCTAGAGATTCATCTGTCTCCTAAATTCTGAGATTAAAGGCATGTGTCACCATGCCCATCAAAGCAACAGAAATATTCCTGAAGCAACTTAGAAATAAGATTCTCTCTCCCTGGTAGCAGCCTCCATGGGTTTGGGAATTCCTTAATCCAAGCTCCTGGCTCACTCTATAGCCTTGTCAGAGGCCTTCTGCTGATCCCCAGTCTGCCCTCAACTCCTCTGTGTTCTAGGCCTGCCTCCATCAGGTATCAGGCAGCCAGAGTGAGGCAAAGGAAGCAAACCTACTGGGTCCTGCCTTTGCTAGGCCCCGTGCTCACATCTTTAAGATGGGGAATTTTGTGCTCAGTTCAGGTCCAATAAGGACCCCTCGGTCCCCAGTACTCCCATCTGAAGACAACGTCATCTACCATCAGCAGCCCAGCGGTGTCCTGAGCCAGCCTCACTTTCACCATCCCCTACCCCCCCACACCTCACCCCCTACCCCCTCTCACACACACCCCCACACCACCACAGTCGTTTCCCAGGCTTCCCCCACTCTTCCGGGGCAGATCCTGGCCCAGGCTGTCTCACAATTACTGATAGGCCACAAAGAAACTAAGTTCTCATAGCAACTTGATCAGAATTCAGAAAAAAGGCCATGGGACGATAGAGGAATTGTCCTCCGTTCTGTCCTGACAAGCCGTAAGCAAAAGAAAACCGTTAGGGCTGATGCAGATCTTTGCCATCCACTGAGTTCTCTTCTACCTGTAGGGCTCCCAAGATTGGTGTCCCACATCCAAATGCTGTCGCCTTCCAGGGAGTTACCCCCACACCATCAACCCCTACAACCTACCAGTCCAGCACAGCACCCTGCCCCCTGACATAACTGATTGGCAGCTCCCAGCACCTGTCCTACACTAGACTAAACTTTATTTGAAGGGCAACAGATACCTACAATCAAGTTAGTCCCTGGTAAAGTGAAAAACATACCAGGAAATCATAGGGACACCATTCCTAATGACTAAAACCTAGAGGCTCCTCAAATGTCCACTGGCAGCAGGGTGGATGGGCATGCATGGTGGTATAGCCATGCAATGGAATACTATACAGCCATAAGAAAGAATGGTCTGCAGTTAGAGCCAACGGCATAGGTGAAATTCGCACAGGGTTGAGTAAAAGAAGCCAGACAGCAATCGGGTCACACTGCATGACTCCATTCATAAAACACGGATATGAGCACAGCTGTTTTGTGGTGACAGAAGTCATGGTAACTGCCACTTTGTGAGAGCTTTGTTACCGGGAAAGGACAAAAGACGACAGTGTTGGTTATCGGCTGTTTCTTAATGCGCTGCTGGAGATACCTGTGAGACTAATTTATGAGTCTAATTTTTATTTGTTTTTTGGGTTTTTTTTTGAGACAGAGATCACTATGTAGCCCTGGCTGTCCTGGAACTCACACCCAGCTGGCCCCACACTCCCGCCTCTGCCTCCTGAGCGCTGGGATTAAAGGTGTGCACCACTACACCTGGCAATTTTTTTTTTAACTTTTAAATTACATTTCTTTCTTTCTTTACTCATGTGGGAGCAGGGCATGCCAGCCACCATGTGCTGCTGGTGGAAGTCAGTTCTCTTCTTCCAACATGTGGGTCTCAAGGATTGAAGCCGGGTTTGACATCGGGTAACTTTACCTGCTGAGCCATTGCTCTGCCTCTTGTACTGAATCTTAAACTTTGTGCTTCTGATGTGTGTATCTCCACAGAAATGCGTGATATGCTAACAAAAGGCTTTAAAGTAGCTGTGAGTAGGAAAGGAAAGCACACAATTTCCTACTTTCAGTTTCTGTTGAGCCCATGAATTTTCTGTCAACCATTCTTCAAAAACAAAAGCAAGCTAGTAGGTGGCAGTGAGGGAGGGGAAGGGGTAGGCAAGGATGAAGTGACGGGGAATGGAAAAAGATGTATATCCTTTGAGCAGGTCTCTGGTGAGGGTCAGGGGCAAGTAGAGACCTCGGGTCCCTACAGGCCTGCTGTATCCTGTTTCTCCTGGCCCTCCCTTCTTCCAAGGTCTATTCATCCGAAACTGCACAATCACCACCAATGCTGAGTGTGCCTGCTCCAAGGGCTGGCAGTGCAGGGACCAGGAATGTACAGAGTGTGATCCTACTCTAAGCCCTGCACGGACTGTACAGCCATCTGTGGCCCCAGGCCCACACCCACAACCCACCCACTTACCTTATGCCCAAGGTATGTAGCAGGTTGCCCCTGGGCCGGTCCTTTGAGGGCAGGGAGCCAGCCTACCCAGCACTGCCCACTCTATACTTACCCCGAGTTAGGTTCTGAGCTAACTCATCTTCCTTCTGTCTCACTCCTGCAGAATCACAGGTTTTCAGCCAGGTGCGACCTGGGGGTGGGGTGAGGGGTTCCTGCTGTGATTCACTCTGTTTCTTCCAGAGATGGCAGAGGCCAGGACGGTCTGGCCTGGACACACCAGGCAGTTTCCTGCCTCAACTCTCTATAACCGCTGGCCATGTAAGTTGTCTCCATAATCCCCATCCCTCAGGGAAAAGTGCAGAGGCAAGAGGCCAAGGGGGCAGGCACTGGGAAACCCCTAAGCATGGGGTGAGGGATAGGGGTATAGAGCTGAGGAGAATGTTCAGCGGACAAGGATGCTGGCTGTGAAAGCATGAGACAAGGACTGGAGTCATGTATCTGTAACCCTAGCATTCGGAGGCAGAGACAGAGCCACCTTAGCTAAAACAGTCGTTTCAAGTTCAGAGAGGAACCCTGTCTCAAGGGAGCGCGCTGGACTCTGGATGCACACACAAGCACTCACTACACACGAAGGAGAAAGAGAGACAGAGGTGGACTGACAGACAGACAGACAGACAGACAGAGCAGGAGGCAAAGGAGGGGAAAGCACATCTAGTTAGTTAGAGATTAGGAGATGGGGACTCCTAATCCAGCAGAGGAAAGATGATGATGGGGGGGATAGGACCAACTGGACTGAGGAAGTCCAAGGTTAGACCCTCCTGCAAAGCCTCTGGGCCCCCTTGCCTATCACAGCCCCAAGACCCCTGTGCAGTTCCGACTGTATCCGAATCTTTGTGACCTTCTCCGGCATGTTTCTTGTCTTCATCCTGTGTGGAATCTTGTTCTTCCATCAAAGAAGAAATCGTGGATCAAGTAAGAGACAGGCTTCCGCTGCTTCCCCCAGCCCACCATCTCAGCTCTGCTAGCCCCATCCCAATTTCACCCTAACCTCAGCTTCGCTGTCCTTCCCACTGCCTCCCCCTGCCCCCCACCCCGCTCCCCACTGCTGACTAAGACTGTCTTTCCACAGATGAAGATAGCCAGGCAGAGCCTGAAGAGCCTTGTTCTTACAGCTGCCCCAGGGAAGAGGAGGGCAGTGCCATCCCCATCCAAGAAGACTACAGGAAACCTGAGCCTACTTCCTACCCTTGAGCCAGCACGGGGGTGGGGCTTTCCACTGAGGCACCACCCAGGGGGATGCCCCTACCATCCTCATCAGAACCCTTTCCTGTGTACACTTGACAAACCGCCCTTCTGAGACTGACAGTGACAACAACAGGATCCCCAAAGTGTTTGATCCAGCAAGCTTGGGGAGGCCCAGGCTCTGGCTATAAAACACACTTATTATAAATGAAACCCGATAGCTGGCAAAATTACATGCTGATAAGGCCAGCCAAGGACTGGAGAGATGATTCAGCAGTGAGAAACAAACATTGTTCTGTCGGAGGACCAGAGTTTGATTCTCAGTGGCTCAAAACCACCTGTAACTCTAGTTTCAGGGGATCCAACACCTTTGACCTCCTCTGGCACCAACAAACGCAGAACGTAGACTCACATAGACACACACACACATGGATTGAAAATAAAATTAAAAAAATATTGAATGGGCCACCAGCAGAAACCCTAGTCCCACATGCCACGAGAGCCACAATCTACAGACACACATACTTCCCGCTTTGGTCTCATGATGCTGCTGTGAGCAAAGTAGAGAGCAAGGCTTTCTCTCGGTTTAAGTTAAAACTGTAAATAAATTCATTTTTCGAGTTCTATATGCACTGTCCTTTTTTCTCAGTGTGAACCCAGAGCCAGGCCTTATGGCCCAGGGACTCCAGTAATAGCTGTAAAAGCTCTACAAGCTAGTTCCTGTCCTACCAAAAAAAAAAAGGGGGGGGGGATGATGGGGCTGGGAAGAAGGGATGAAGAGTGAGTTCCAGCACCCTTCATCAGAAAAAAAAAAAACAATAACAAAAAACAAAAAAACAAAACCCAGAACTCACATAAGAAAATAAGAAAGGAAGAAAGAAAGAAAGAAAGAAAGAAAGAAAGAAAGAAAGAAAGAAAGAAAAGACAAAAACAAAAAAGTGGATGTGGCCCTGTGTGCTTGTAATTCAAGGGGTAGGGGTGCCAGGAGTGCAGGGGTTGGAGTAGATAGGACATCACTGGCACTTGTGGGCCACCAAATAATTCCAAGTTCAGAGAGAGACCCCATCTCAAAAGAATAGGGTGGAGTGAGCAATGGGGTAAGATACCCAGCGTCCTCACTGACCGCTCCCACACACACACACACACACACACACACACACACACACACACACACACAAGTGTACACACACACACACACACATACACACACACACAAGTGTACACACACACACACACACACACACAGACAGACACACACACACGCACACGCGCACACACACACACACACACACGCACACTCCCACACAAGTGTACACACACACACACACACACACACAGACAGACACACACACACGCACACGCGCACACACACACACACACACACGCACACTCCCACACACACAGAATTTAAAGTGAAACTCCACATTGTAGCTCTCCAGCTTCCCGAGAAACTCCAGCCACACCCCATCTCATCGTGGGGTCAGGGATCTGAAAGGGGAGTTGTCACCAGGACAGACCAACACGATTTCACATGGACCTGAAGGATGAAGGAAGGGTCCAGAGCACAGGGATCTATCTTCAGGCTCCATCCCTTCTCGGGCTTCCTCGTGGAGCTGATGGGGTTTTTAAATCACCTGGGGGTTTCTCGGGTGCAGGGCGAACAGAAGACCAGTGAGGCGGTTCCTCCGGCCGCTGCTGCTAATGGCTTCAGGTGACAAAGGCAGACGAAGTGAAAGTGAAAGCGAAAGAGAAGCGACTGAAAGAAAGAACTGAGCACAAGCGGCTCGCCAAGTGAGGGGAGCTCCAAGGAACCCTCTCTTCATCCGGGGATCTCCAGCGCAGCTGTGGAGAAGGCAGCCACCCAAGAGCCTGAGAGCAGCCTCCATGGGCTTGGAGCCCAGCTGGTATCTGCTGCTCTGTTTGGCTCTCTCTGGGGCAGCAGGGACTGGTGAGTCTGGCGAGGCTGGGCCGGGAGGAAGCGTTGAGCTACCGAGTCCCGAGGAGCCAGCCACCTACCCGGAACAGCGACAGCTTCCGATTGCTTTCTAAGCCCAGGAGATGAGAGGGGTACAGGCTAAGAAAACAGAGAGAGAGAGAGAGAGAGAGAGAGAGAGAGAGAGAGAGGAGAGAGAGAGAGAGAGCAGGGTGCCACCATTCCAAGGGAGAGGGCACTGCCCCTTAAAGGCAGGTGGGGCTCCCCGGGCTAAGAAATCACCTGGGAGGTGACTCCAGGAGTAGGAGGGGAGAGGCCCCAATGGCAGAAAGCAGAAGACTCTGGGCAGTCTGGGAAATGAGAAAATGGCTGTCAATGTCCCTAGAAACAGCAAGTGCCCAGCTCCTCTCCTCCATGGCAGTATTTGCTCCTTTGTTTTTGAAAGGAATTCCTTTCAAAAAAAATTTCCTTGTATTCCACAATTGGACTATAAAAAAAAATTTAAAGTATAATCCCTCTGGTTCTGAGCAGGACAGATCCAGAACTTAAAACAATTCACCAAGTAGCTGCCTGAGTAGCAGGTGCCTCCCCGGAAGTTGCTGATCAGCCCGAGGTTTGGGGAAGGCGTGGGAAGAAAGTGTGGAGGAAGAAAGTGATCACCTCGCTTTCCCTGCAGAGCCCCCCACAGCAGACGGACCGTGGCAAGCCACCGACATAGTCCTAGACTGTTTCTTGGTGACGGATGACAGGCATCGAGGAGCCTTTGGCAGCAGTGGGGACAGGCAGAAGGCCTTGCTTGTGCTGAAGCAGGTGCCAGTGCTGGATGATGGCTCCCTAGAAGGCATCACCGATTTCCAAGTGAGCACAGTGGCCAAAGATGACGCACCCATTATCTTTGAGGCCTCAGGTAAAACCTTCCTTCCTAGGTGTCCCGGACAGGGACAGCCCAGTTCCCAGTCATATCTACCCACACCTGGTTCCCACCTGCCGGGTGTCCACCCAACATCACTTCTGTGTGCCACCCTTCTCCCCAGTGGACTCGGTACAGATTCCCCAGGCAGAGGCCTTGCTGCATGCTGACTGCAGCGGGAAGGTGGTGACCTGTGAGATCTCCCAGTATTTCCTCCAGGCCAGACAAGAGGCCCCTTCAGAGAGAGCAGCTTGGTTCATCAGCAACATGCAGGTGTCTAGGGGAGGACCCAGTGTCTCCATGGTGATGAAGACTCTAGGAGATGCTGAGACCGCAGCTGTCTGGCACCCTACACTGAACCTACCCCTGAGTCCCCAGGGTACTATAAGGACTGCAGGTGAGAATACAAAAGCAGTGGCAGAGGGAAGGTTCTTTTTATTTTAAATTTGGTTACATTTGGTGTGTGTGTGTGTGTGTGTGTGTGTGTGTGTGTGTGTGCACGCACACGCACATGCCACAGCACGGGGGGAAAAAAGAGGACAAGTTGTGGAAGTGGGCTCTTCCTTCTACCGTGTACCTTCAGGGACTGAAGTCAGTTCACTTGGACATCAGAGGACAAGTTGTGGAAGTGGGCTCTTCCTTCTACCGTGTACCTTCAGGGACTGAAGTCAGTTCACTAGGCTTGGCAGCAAGTCCTTTACCCACTGTTCCATCTTAGTAGCCCCAAGTCTTTCTCTCTCTCTCTCTCTCTCTCTCTCTCTCTCTCTCTCTCTCTTTTCTTCCTTTATTTCTCTATTTCTTTATTTCTTTCTCTCTTTCTTCCTTCCCTTTCTTTTTTCTTCCTTCCTTCCTTTCTTTCTTTTTAGTTGTAAGAAATGGGATAGAAGGAAGGAAAAAGTCTACAACCTATCATGTGGGTCCTCTTGGGGTACCATAGGCCTTCGTCTTTTCTTTCTAAATAACCTGAATCCAAAAGAGAAAATGCTAGCCGGGCGTTGGTGGAGCACGCCTTTAATCCCAACACTCGGGAGGCAGAGGCAAGCGGATCTATGTGAGTTTGAGACCAGCCTGGTCTCCAGAGCTAGTTCCAGGACAGCCTCCAAAGCCACAGAGAAACCCTGTCTCGAAAAACCAAAAAAAAAAAAAAAAAAAAAAAAAAAAAAAAAAAAAAAAAAAAAAAAAAAAAAAAAAAAGTGAAAATTCTGGGAGATCCTTACTTGATTAAGGGTCAAAATATAAAAATCATAAGATATTTTCTTCAAAATGGAGAAATGGGCTTTCATCTCATTGGGCTGTCATTGGAAAATGGCACACACACATTGTCACTGTCTCTTCTAGTCAAACACCTATTTTCTCCCCGTGAAAAGTGAGCTCGGTCTGGTACTTCACAGTAATTACAGCAGAACACAGGGAGACAGAATTTGTTCCGTACCTCTTATTAATAAACCCCAGTTTTATTAAGGGGAGGAGCTTGGTCCTGCTTAAACCTGACGTGCCATGCTTTGTTGTCACCCATGGGAGGCCTGCCCCTTTCTGAAGGAAAAGTGGAATGGGGGGTTACAGAGGACAGGCATGATGGGGAGGGACAGGAGGAGAGGAGGGAGAGGAAACTGTTGGGATGTAAAATTAATTAAAAATTTTAATTAAAAGAAAAGTCCTTGCCCCTCTCACTCAGCACCACCTGCCAGGGACAAAGAAATTGAGAACATAATGACAGGTATCTGAAGTTCCAGTCAATAGTTTGCCTCCAAAAGGAGACAACCAAGTCCACGGAAGATGAAGACGGGTGCGGTTCTTCTCCTACCCCTGGAAACCCCTAAAACATTAACCTTTATTATTGTTTTGTCCTGTGCTGAGAATTAAACCTAGAGCCTTGTGCATGCTAAACAAGTACTCTACCACTGACCTACAGCTGCAACTCCTTTTTCAGCTTTTATTGTCAAATGGGGATCTCACCAAGGTGCCCAGGCGGGCCTTGAACTCACGCTCCTGTCATGCCTCCTGAGTCATTGGGAGTACAGGCAGGCACTATCACTCTCGCTGCCCCTACGGCCCTCTCTAAATGAACCTTGACACATCAGAAAAGATGCCCAGCGTCTCCCCCAGGCCTTGTATGCCTTAGAGCTTCTCCCATTTTGAGATTATCCAAACCTACAAATAAAGCTAAACTGTGGTGACACATGACTTTAAACCCAGCACTCGGGAGACAGAGGCAGATAGATCCCTGAGAGTTCAAGGCCAGCCTGTTCTACAGAGTGAATTCCAGGACAGCCAGAACTGTTTCAGAGAAAAAAAAAAAAAAAAAAAAAAAAAAAAAAAAAAAAAAAAACTACAAATAAGTGAAATAACAAACATCCACACAGCCTTGACCTATTTCACCAGTTACTCATCTTGTCATACTCCCTCTGTGCCTCCGCTAAAATAGAGATATAGTCTCCCCTTGAGCTGATGAGAGCATAGGCACCACATCACTTTACCTCCAAGTGTCCCTTCCCCATGTACGGTTATAGCTGAAAGTCAAGGCCAGTGTGCTTCATGATCACCAGTGAGCTCAGAGGCTATCATGCTTGGGGAGTCAGCTACTCTTAGTAACAAGGGCATGTAGAGCTTCATAGCATTTTAGTCATGCAAGAAGAATTAAACAGTAAAGCCAGGTGGGGCTGTGCACGTCTGCAATCCTAGCACTGGAGACTGAGGTGGGAGGATGGGGAGTTGGGGCTCCCCCCCCCACTCCCCGTGCCATGCTACCCTTGCAGAGCCCCCATTATTTGCAGCTCCATCACACAGGAAATGAACTCAGTCAGTACCACTGTCCACAGCTCAGAGGCCATGTGACCTCAAGGGGGAAAACAGTCCACAAGACATGCTTTTTTCTCTCTACAGTGGAGTTCCAGGTGACATCAGAGACCCAAGCCTTGAGTCGTCTGCTGGGGTCCACCGTCTCCCTGCACTGCAGTCTCTCCATGGCACCAGGCCTGGACCTCCTTGGTGTGGAGTGGCGGCTGCAGCACAAAGGCAGTGGCCAGCTGGTATACAGCTGGAAGACAGGGCAGGAGCAGGGTCAGCGCAAGGGCGCTACGCTGGAGCCTGAGCAGCTACACGCGGCTGGGGATGCCTCTCTCACCTTACCCAACCTCACTCTAAAGGACGAGGGGACCTACATCTGCCAGATCACTACCTCCCTGTACCAAGCTCAACAAATCATCCCACTTAACATCCTAGGTAAGGCCTGGCCTTGGTTATTGTGGGGAGAGGGAAGAGAGAGGTGCCTGATGGGAACCTTTTCCAGACTAGAATCTAAACCCGAAGGGTATTTCCTGAGAAAAAGAATGCATTCCCACAACCTAAACACCATCTTCATCCCAAAGGCACAGACTGCATCAAATAAGGAGTCCCATTGAGTTGAGTGCCAAGATAATTCCTCCAAGAAATAACTAGTCCGGAATCTTAGAGCTGGCTGGCCATCTATAATTTCAGTTCCCCAGAGCACTTCCTTGAGGGGGACCTGCAGGTGTCTAGGCAGGGAAGAAACTGAGGAAGTGAGAATGAAAACTCAGTTCACACTGACTTTGTGAATCCGGGTCAGACTTGGGGAGTCTGATATCAGGCAGATGGATTCCCTGGTGCAATACAATCCCCGGTAATTACATCAAAACTTTGTTATTTCTTCCAGGAAAATGGGTTCCAGAGATAGACTACCTGCACTAGCTTAAGGGCCTAAGGTTCTGTCCTGGTCCTGGTCATACGGTTAGTGCAGAGGTCATCTGGGCTGTTAGCCACCTCTAGTCCTAGTTGTGGGAGCTTGGGGGAGCCTCTGGCTATCAGGGTCATTTGGATTACCTGTTATTCTTTTGTTTAAAAAGAAGAAAAGAGAAATGCTGAGACATGAGACGTGTTGACTATAAGTTTATTATGAGGCCCGGCAGAGTAGGGAGACTAAGAAGAGGAAAGGAACAGGGTAAATGGCTGACCGCCATGGCCGGTTGCCATAGAGAGGCAGAGCGAGCGCATAGGTGAGAGAGAGAGTAGAGAGAGGAAGCAGAAAGGGAAAATGGGCAGGGACCTGTCTTTTTAAAGGGGTCCTCTACACCTGCGTGCAGACTTAGTTCCCATGGAACCTTGGGCTGACCAGGGTACTGCCTGTTCCACCAGGTAACAGGGGCAGGCCAGCATAATGCCTGAACCTTTCATTACCAGCGACCTCCAGTCTTGGCTGGAAGAGCTTGATATGGCCTGGCCTGTCAGATGATACAGATCACCAGGCTTGTTTGTCATTTCCAGTTCTCAGCTTTCTGGATGGAAAAACAGGTTTCTCATCTTTCCCATTGGAAAGACAATACTGCTGTTAGCATTCCTGGTTTCTCTGGAGATCTGCCGGTGCAAGGACTTTCATGCTAAACTCCCAATACTTCCTGAGGGGAGCAGCAGCCAGTCAAGGGCAGACAGAAGGAACAGTTCTGATCACAGTGTGCAATGGAACAAACCAAGGGAGTGTGGCTCAATGGTGCAGCATTTGCTAGTACATGTAAGACCCTAGGTTGATTTTCCAGCTCTATAAAAAAAAAAATAAAGAAGTATGCTGGCCTGTCACTTTATCATTCCAGAAAAATGCATCCTTTGATGACCTGCATCCAGGTAGCCCCTTACCCCAACCCCTTGGAACACTGAGAAGTTTCCGTCTCCACAACCTACCTTCACTCTTGAGAGGCCTCAGGCTCCTCTGCAGGCCCTAATCAGAAGCCTCTACAATCTTACTCCTCATTCTTTCTCCAGCTCCCCCCAAAGTAGAGCTGAACTTGGCAAACAAGGACCTGCCGCCCTCCCTCATCTGCAGTGTCGCTGGCTATTACCCTCTGGACGTGGTGGTGACATGGATCCGAGAGGAGCTGGGTGGGATTCCAGCCCAAGTCTCTGGTGCCTCCTTCTCCAGCCTCAGGCAAAGCAAGATGGGAACCTACAGCATCTCTTCCACTGTGGTGACTGAGCCTGGCCCCACAGGTGCCACTTACATCTGCCAAGTTACCCACGTCTCCCTGGAAGAGCCCCTTCGAGTCAGCATGAGGGTTTTCCCACACACAGGTACTGGGAGTGTCCTATCTCTTCCTCCGTACTCGGAACTCCCCTGCTTCCGGGTCATCTTCAGCCTTCCGCTGTGTTCCACCTTCACACTCCTGACTTACCCTTCCCAGAGTGGCAGCCTCTACCTCTACCAATCCCCAGCCTCCAAATAATAAGCTTGGGCTGGAGGGGAGGAGGGGGAGGGGTGTGCAGCCCTTTTCCACTCGGAGCTTAGTACAGCTGGAGAGACAAGTGAGGCCCGCAGGCAAGGCGACCCAGAACAGACACTTGAGCCCAGTTAGGCAGTTCAGCAGGAAGGGAACCCATGTGAAAATCAGATTGTACAACAGCCTACAAAGAACAAGGGAGCGTGGCTATAGCTGAGGGTTTATGAGAGAAAGAGCCTGAGGCAATGATACTTAGAGGTGGTTACATCTGCACATTTACGTGGCCAAACATTGTAAACTCAACTCTAGACTGATTTTACTATTGGATGTGTTTAAGTGCTTTGCCTGAATATAAGTACACTGTGTGCATGTTAACACTCATAGAAGCCAAAAGCAGGTGTCAGATCCCCTGGGACTGGAGTTACAGGTGGTTGTCAGCCACTATGTGGGTGCTGGGAGTTGAACCCCAAGACCTCTGCAAGATCAACAAGAGCTCTTATCTGCTTAGCCAACTCTCCATCCCCAATATACTCAACTTTTAAGTATGATGTCACATATTACAACTGTTTTCGGAAATGGGTCTTACTGTTGTTATTCAGGCTGGCCTCAAGTTCCTCTGCCCGTCAATCCTCCTAACTCAGCCTCCTAAAACAACTGGGACTACAGATACCATCACCATGTCTAGCACTCATCTTACATATGAGTAAGCTGGTATTTTCAGACACTGAGCAGTTTACCCCAGGTTCTCCACCAGTAAATAGTGAAAGAGAAAATGTAACCAGCAGGCAAGCTGAATGCCCTTACAAGTTCTAGTGTGTGGCCCTATAATCTTGATGGCCTTCATCCCAAAGGCCACGAAATATAGCAGTTTTAAGCAGGAAAGGGTATGAACCTCAAAATGAAAAATATCCAAGAGCCCAAGACATCATTTGGTGGCTCACCAGACTATGCGCTTGCCCAAAACTAAAGTTTCGTTTGAATTCACATTATTCCCCAGCTATTTGCTGTCAGTCGCTAGTATAACCTCAATCCCTTTTGCAAAAACATTTTCAAATGTCTAAGGTGGAATGGGGTGTAGTGGTGTGTGCCCACAATCGCAGGACTAGAAAGCTGCAGCAGGGGTCTAAGTTCAAAGCCAGGGATGACCAGAGAGACCCTGCCTGAGAACTACAAAGTCCCGATGTGAGGCGAGGCAGAACAGTAACACATAGATGGGACAGTCTTGACCAAGTGCAGGTGCCACTGTGCGCACGGGCCCAGGGCCTCCCGAAGCTTCACAAGCAACCCACCAGAGCTCGCCTCTTACGGGGAGGGAGGGGTGCTCTAGGGTGAGGGCTCAACGTGTGGTTCTGTGCTCCTTCTCTCCTACAGAGCAGAGAACAGCCTTCGGAGTTGTCTTTGCCAGCATTCTCTTCCTTCTTGCACTGTTGTTTCTGGGACTTCGGAGACAGCGAGGTGAGTCTGTAGATCAACCCACTCCTAAGTAGTACCCGCGCACCCAAACCAGGGATGAAGCCCGTTCGTTGTTCCAAGTTCTGGATGTTTCCACTGTGTCCCCAATACCCCATTTGAAACCAATCTTGTTCTGTTTTCTCTCAGTTTCTTTGCCAAGGCCCACCAAGACTATGAGGCACTCTGGGTAGCTGCTCTCTTGCCTCCAAATAAAAAGTGGAGTTCCCATGTTCTAGCTACCAAAGGGCACCCGTGCTGAGGTGTGGGACTGGAAAAGGCCTGAAGGAGACACCCTGTGTGGGAGTGAGGTACTCGTCCTGGTCTGTACAGGTCTCTGCCTTCCTTCCCTGTTGAGAAGATCCTGGGCAGATGAAAAAGGAGGGCAGAATTATCTGAGTGGGGGCTAACACCAAAGGCAAAGACTGGGAAAGTGAAGGGAAACGGGGAAAGAGGGTGGGGGCTGCCCACCACTCACAAACTCTTAACGCTGTCAAAATAAAACACTTTGTGTCTACAGAGCAAAGCTTCTCTACTTTCTTGTCTTTCTCCCTGTTGGTCCCAACAGGTCCCTGGGTCCCCATTCCTAGCTGCTCCAACTTGCAGTTTCAAGGTATGAAGCAGAGGCCTGCCAGGGCTACATCTCCTCGGTTGTATAATCAGAAATTAAAATTCTGACCCTGTGGACAGCTGCCGGGAGTTTTGTGAGATGTTTCTTGTGCTCATTTCTATGAAGTACATTGTGGATTTAATACAGCTCAGCATATAAAAACTGGATTATGAGCTGGGCGGTGGTGGCACACGCCTTTAATCCCAGCACTCGGAGAGGCAGACGCAGGATCTCTCTGAGTTCCAGACCAGCCTGGTCTACTAGGCGAGTTCCAGGACAGCCTCCAAAGCCACAAAAAAACCCTGTCTTGAAAAAACAAAACAAAACAAAACAAAAAACTGGATTATGAAGTCTATTATCAAAAATAAATAAATAAATAAATAAATAAACAAACAAACACTATGGCTAGAAAGAGAGCTCAGTGGCTAAAAGCACTGATTGCTCTGATTGCTATTCTAGAGGACCTGGGCTTGGCTCTCAGCACCTACTTGGCAACTCATAACCATCTATAACTTATTCTAACGAATCCAGTGCCCTCTTCTGAACTCCTTGGGCACTAGGCATGCATATGGTACACAGACATACATGCAGGACAAACACGTGTACACATGATAAAAAAACAAATATATCATTTAAAAAATATTTGTGTATGTGTGTGTCTGTGCACTACAGGCATGCAGAAGCCTGCAGAGGTCAGAAGAGGAGCTGGACTTAGCCACAGGGGGGAGCTGCCATGTGGGTGCTGGAAACAGAGCCTGGATCCTCTAAAAGTCCTTTTCAGACTGATGTATTTTATTGTTTTATATGTATAAGTATTTTGCCTGCATGTATGTATGTGTACCACCCGCATGACTGGTACCAGAAGAAAGCATCAGATGCCCTGGGACTGGAGTCACAGATGGTTGTGAGCCATCGTGTGGGTGACATGAATCAAGCCAGGGTCCTCTGCAAGAGCAACAAGTGCTCTTCACCCCTGCAGAGCCAACGCTCCGCCCTAAATAAAATTAAAGAACAAAAAACAGGAGTGATGGTGTATGCAGTTAATCCCAGCACTCAGGAGGCAGAGGCAGGCAGATCTCTGTGAGCAAAGCCAGCCTGGTCTACCCAGTGAGTTCCAAGACAGAAAGAGATACACAGAGAAACCTTGTCTTGAAAAAACCAATAAAAATTCCCTGGGCTTAGAAGTCAGAGAGCGATGTCTTAAAAGAAGGTGGGGGGGGGGGGCTGGAGCCATGGCTCTGCAGTTAGAGCACTGGCTGCTCTTGCAGAGAGAGGACCTGGCTTGGCTTTCCCAGCACCCACATGGTGGCTCACAGCCATCTGTAAACCCAGCTCCATGCGATCCGATGCCCTCCTCTTGGTGCCAGGCACACATGTGGTGTAAATATATGCATGCAGGCAAACACTCACACACTTAAATAGGAACAGATCTTAAAAAGTGAACTTGCTATTTCAGAAGACCTTAGTCTGGAGAATGCATTTAAGAGACAAGCACGGTGGTGCAGACTGGAAACCCCTGTCTTAACAAAACAAAACAAACAAAATATAATTCAAAGGGGACACAAACTATGCATGAGGATGAGAAAAAGGGGGTACGGGCTGGAAGTCTCATCTAGACACAACCCTTAAAATACAACAAGCCGGCAGAGGCAGCTGGGAGAGGCCCGAGAAAGCCGCACTTGTTTGCCAGTACGAAGAGCCCACTCAGCTTCCTGTCAGCACTTCCTCGCACCAGTGCCTGCGAGCGCTGGGTTGCTTCAGGTATGAAGGCTAAGAACACAGACCACTTCCTCTGCCAACACAGGGACTTTAATTTCCAAGAAGACCAAAGAACTCACACAAGTCAGCCCTTCTGGCCTACAGCCAACCTAGGACGACACCCTCTTCTCCCCCTCCCCGGCACAACAACCCAAACAACAACCAAGTCCATGTTGTGGTAGGAATTTGTATTTTTCACCTTTATTGAGAATACATGAAATTGGTAAGTATGTCACATGCCTTTGGTGGAAATACAACTCTTACTACTCTATACATAAACTATGAGACTGGGTTAGGAAAAAGACAGAGAGGTAATGACAAACACAATGGAAACCCCACATCATCTCATGGCAAACCAAAGAAGGGGATGTGGGAAGCTTGGCTTCACCTGGCTGCAAAGCCCCAGAGTTTAGTTGCGCATTTGCTCATGCACATGGGTGGTGGGAGGGAAAGGAGACCGCAAAGACACAGAAGAGGGTTCAGAGTGGGGTGAGAAAGAAAACGAAAGGGTTAACACCCCCAAAAGAACAAAGCCACTACACCTGGTTAGCCTTACAGGGACAGAAACCCAGGAAAGAATTCCCGTGCTAGGGCTGGGTGGGCCAACAGGGTAAATTTGCTGCAGGCTCGGGGTACATCGAGGACAGTGTTGGTCTTCTCCAGCGGTGACCCCCCTGCATTAGGCAAAGAGAAGCCCAGAGGATAGTGGAGACCTTCGAGGGGAACGTTGGGAGAGTACACTGACTGCTTTCTTCCAGCTCTTCAGTCCTGCCCTGAGGCAGGGCGAAGGGATTGGGGGAAATGGGCAAAGGGGAGGAGGATGGTTTTGCAGAGTGAAATAAATGCTGCTGCGTGGAAAGTGGGCACCCAGGCTAGCGTGGCGGCAGCCTCTTCCTGCTTGCCGGCCAGAGGACAGAAGTAATAAGGTCTGAGAGCATCCCTCCCCCTCCCGCCCCCCCCCCCCCCTCTCTCTCTGGGTGTGTGTATTATAGGTCAGCAGCAGCAGCTCAAGACAGACAGAGCAGCCTCCATCCTCAGGTTTCAAGGTTTATAGGCACCGAGCATGCAAAGGGAAAACAAGAAAGGAGGCAATGCAGAATTCAGGTGGGTAACGACAGTTCCAGAGAAGGTAGTGAAGGGAGGTAGCAGACAGCTCCAGATGCCAGGCCCCACACTGGCACAGCAGTGCACAGCACGCCTGTCACAGGCTGGCACCCCTCCTACCCGAGACTGAGCTGCAGGGTTTGTTGGACTTCTGTAAATCTCTAAAGGCCTTCCTGCCTCATCCCTGTGTCAGGCAAAGAACACAGGAGCGGTGTGGAGGAAGGGTTCTATGGGAGCCTGGGAGTCTCACCACTTTAAACTCATTCCCCATTATCGACAGCAGGGGAGGTAGAGGACTTGGCTAATGAGATGGCAAGAAGCACGTTCCCAAAAGCCTACTGTCTTCAAAGCTGACTGGCATTATTTGGTGCCCTCACGAACAACATACAGTGCGTCAGGAAACACGAGGAGACAGCAGCTCCTTCTAGCCAGAAGCACAGAGACGGCTTCTAGGAGAAAGTAAGAGTCTCCCACTATTTTTTAAATCAGTAAGTACTTATTTTCTAGGCCTACAGAAACAAAATAAAAGGCTGTAAAGTTCCTCGAAGATGTAGAAACCCTGGGACTGACAGATAAGCACTAACTACAAAATACAAATTTGACTTTCTAAAAGGGATTCAAAGTTGGTCTTTAAACAGACCTCTGGGACCCAAGACAGGCCTGGTATGAGGGGAAAGTTCCAAATAAGGGCAACAGGGTAGTGGTTACCAACTATTACATAAATATATATAAATCAGGCAGCAAGCTGAGCGTCGGTGGCGCATGCCTTTAATCCCAGCACTCGGGAGGCAGAGGCAGGTGGATCTCTGTGAGTTCGAGACCAGCCTGGTCTACAAGAGCTAGTTCCAGAACAGCCTCCAAAGCCACAGAGAAACCCTGTCTGGAAAAACAAAAACAAAAAAAACAGGCAGCAAGCTACTACTTCCCAACTAGTCTGGGTCCCCTCCTGCTGAAGGCCAGCCTTTCTAGGAGACATTATGGACACAAACACCCTTCTCCACCCCTCAGCCATGCCAACTTCTCAGACACTTCACCTCTGCCATACCCATCCTCCTCCTTCCCTTGGCCACAACTCTTTTACGCTCTGGGATACACAAAAACGGGGTAAGGAGGAGGCGCCAGACGTTACTCTTTGGGTAGTGACTTCAAGACTGGGCCACGAGCAGCATTTCTAGTGTTAAGGAAGAGTGCAAATGAATGCAACAAAAAAGGAGAGATGGGTGATGGAGAAGCCTGGGCTACAAAGGAGAAAGTGGATGGAGGACTTGGTGAGAGGGAAAACAGAGAGAAACAGACATGAGCGTGGATGGCAATGGAGAACAGGGAAGGGGTGGCACATTCTCAAGTAAAAAAGTAGACTGGACACAGGAATCAGGAAATCCCAGACGAAGAAGAAAAAAGAGACAGGAGAAAACAAGAGGGCAAGTTACATCACGTTACTAGACATTCAGGTCTCTCAGTTACATGGTACCCCAGCCCCAAGGTCTCCCTTGGACCCAAGCCAATGGCAAACGGCACATTCCCATTTCTCAGCAGAAGGGGCCATCTCCCCACAACTCTTTGCAGGGGGAGGCTTGTCCATCAAGGAATTTCCTTGTCTTTGCTTTTCCTGCCCCCACAAACCAGGCGATGATCCCACAGCAGCAGGTCTCCATACCTCAGTCAGAGCAGCCCCACTCCCCAGGCAGGCAGGCAGGCAGGCGGGCGGGCGGGCAGGCGGGGCTGGGAGAGGACTCCAGGACCTTCCCACCTCGTCACCCCATCGCCACCTTACGATACTTACTTACAATAACTACCACGATGATGGCACAGATCGCTCCCAGCATTATCATCATCTGAGGACAGAACATGACAGAGCATGACAGAGCATGAACCCTGACAGAACATGATAGAGCATGACAGACCACGAGCCCTTGGACTCAGGCAGGGAGGAAGGAATATGACTAGGGATAGGAGGTCATCCACAGACCTCTGCTCCTCATAGGATCACAAAGAAGGAGCACGGGAGTCTCACTCAACCTTATTTTTGTTTAGTTCTGGCGCCTGATCACTCTTTCTTGGAATTCCGATGGGAAGGCAAATTTTGTCAAGTGTTTGCTACATTTACAGAAGTTGTGGGTATTTTTAAATACATACACTGAGCCAGTGTGTTGCTGACGGGGTCTGAGGAAGAGCCAGGTGAGAATTTCTGGGAAAATCTACTTCACTGGTCTAAATTCCTCTCTCTACACAGGACTTTCTCTGTGGTTCTGAATACTCTAGCCTACCCTGGTGGCCAAGGCAGGTAATGCAATCAAGGAGACACCCAGACCTCAGAGGAAAGGGGAAAAAGCTAGTGGTTTCCTTGCCTCCTACAAGTGAGACAAGGAAAAGCCGGAGAGGGCAGGGAGCCTCACCTTGCAGTTTTTCCACCAGTACTTCCTCTTTAGCTTGGCAGCACTGCTCTCAAATTGTGACGCTCCCGCCTGCAAGGCGTCAGCTCGGTCATCCAACTCTGACAGCTTCTGGTCCCTCTCGAGGACCTTGTCCACATTCACACGCATGATGTCCACCACCTGAGGGGGGTTGCAGAAACAGAGACAGAGGAAATGAACAAGGCCTGGGAGACCACAAACCCAGGCCTGCGAATCCAAGGGATGCTTTGCCCAGCATAACCTTTCCCCCTATAAAAAAGAGGAGAACATAGGGTTTGTTTCTAAGCTTCTTGGTTTAGAAACTGTCATGGAGTGGACCAGAGGCCTACCTCCTCCACTTGTGCCTGGGTTTGCTGTAGTCGTCTATTACTGGTCATATTAGGGGGAGGACCAGGAGGACCCCCACCTGGGGCAGCCCCTTCTGTTCCTTCAGCGGGTGGCTGAGCTGGAGCAGACCTGTGGAAAGAAGCGAACAGTACACAATGACTGAGACAAGAAGAAACTCCCATGCATCTCACTTAAACCGAAGCCAAGGTTGGATGCAAACAGAGGGCATCTTAGCTCCTCTGCAATCCCAAGTGTTGAGATGTAGCTGAAAGGCATGCAAGATCTCCTAACATTTGGATGAGGGTCACGTGCCATTAGAGATCTTGAGTGGGGCTATCCTGTGATGCAAGCATCCTCTGGCAAATGGCCACAGGGACACATATGCCAGCCTTGATCTAAATGGAATTTGTCTGGCCATTAGAAGCTCTTCACATGAAATAAAATGGAAAAACCCAAGCCAGGAGAAAAGAAATCTGTAGAAAAAACTAAACTGTAAGGACAGCTGAGCTCTGCTTTGAATATAAAAGGGCAAGCTAGTGGCCCTGCTTATGGGACTTGGTTACCAGTTATGTTTCACACTGTAACTGGTACACTACAGCTGCTGCAAAGACAATTTGGAGAATCACCAAAGGCAAAGTCTATACAGACCGAGTGAGCCAGGGATATTTTTTTGGCAAAGAAGATAGGGGTTTCATTTAAATTGAATCTGGGGCCTAAAGCAATTGCATTAATTGTTCAAAGAGCACAGACCATGAGTAAAAATGCTAGAACTCATTCTCAATGTCTATCCAGCATAGATGCTCTGTCCTACCCTTCTTCAGGCTTGGCAGTGTCTCAGGGTAGTCTCCTAGTCCCCTGTCAGAAGAGAAAGCTTGAACTAGGCTACTCCACAGCGTGTAAGGTCTCTATTCTGGTACCACTGAAGACAAACAGTTCTCATGGTCTTAGAATGGAATAATGCAGAGTAGATTTGTTTTTGTTTTGATTTAATTTTGGGGAGCGTTGCTGTGCTTTTTGTTTTGTTTTGTTATTTTGAGATAGGTCTGTCCTGTTCCCTAGCTGTCCTGGAACTCTATGTAGACCAAGCTAGCCTAAAACTGAGATCCACCTGCCTCTGCCTCCCAAGTGCTAGGGTTAAAGGCGTGGGCCCATATGCATAGCAAATGTGAGGCCTTTAAGATAACTTCTCTCTGACATTCACCAGCTAACAAGTACCCAGAAACCTATAGAAGGAGATGATATTTTTTCTACTGTGGTGGAGGCTGCACAAGCAAGGTGAAGAGATATCTAAAATTTGATGGAGAATAGAAATTTCTTAAACTCCATAAAACATCCTTGCCAGAGCAGTCCAAGAATAAATAAAGTAGAGGTTAAACCGTCACAGTTATCAAAAAAGTAAACTTCTTGATTAATCACAATAGAATTAATATCTTGGATCTCCTTTTCCATAACTAAGTGAAATTTTCTTCTAGACAAGATGTGATAGCCCCTCAGAGAGGCCATATTAACAGACTACACTGGCTTCTTCCACTTAAAGAGTCGCCTTCCTTCCTAGACATGGAGGAAGGAAAGGAAGACGCAGAGCCACGGGAGCCACAGGACTTGCACTGCTATTGAGCTAGCTAAGCATTCTAGTTCTAGACTGAAGGCAGGGATTTCAATGAGTTGGTAGCAGCTAGTGTTGGAGGGAGTCCAGGATAGTGGCACCAATGACAAGATTAAGGTCAGAGACCTCGTGATTCCCCGCTAGCCATTATGTTTTCTGTACCCCCTTCCAGTCATCACACCACCTGGAGTGAGTCAGCTAAGAAGGACCCCCTCCCCAAGTAAAAACAGCTGGCGTCTATGGGCTCACCAAAAACGCAGAATGTTAAAGCCACCGAACCCCAAGAGATAAGATGGAATGTCTGTGAGCTTTTAGAGGGTTCGCTTCACTTACTACTTGTTGGGAGCTAGAAACACCCACGTTAACCTATTCAGGGCGTTACAATCCTTATGTAATACAGGTAAATCCTTCTTAAAAAAAAAAACAAATCATCAAGAGAAGCAACACAAGCTGAGTGTGGTGGCGCACACCTTTAATCCCAGAGCTTGGGAGGCAGGGGCAGGCAGATCTCCGAGTTCTAGGTTAGCCTGGTCTATAGAGGGAGTTCTGGGACAGCCAGGGCTACACAGAGAAAGGCAAACAAGGGAGGGGGGAGGAAGGGAGAGGTGAGAGAGGGAAGGGGAGAGGGGGAGAGGAGGAGGGAGAGAGAGAGAGAGAGTGCACACACACACACACACACACACACACACACACACACACACACACAAATACATCTAGCACCAGTCAAGAGATTCCAGCAATAAATGGAAAGAAAATCCTTATTGTGTGTATGTGATCATGAAGAGAAGTTCTTAATTTATCTAGCCACAGATCTGCAGAAGCGGGTGGTGCTGAAGACAGCTAAGACTAAACTATGTATTTTAGATAAAATGAAGATTTCCCTGTTCTCCCTATTTCTCCTCCAATACTAGGCTAGGACTAGATCACTGGAAAGCACCTTAGCATAAACGGCTGCATAGGATCTCATGCCACTGTCCCCTGAGACTCTGAGCTGCTCACACGGCGCCACAGAACTAGCAAGTAAGTTTCTGCAGCTTTGCGCACAGCCATGAGGCAGGTACATCACACTTTGGGTGAGGGGCATGCACAAACCCGAGTTACGAACGGACAAGGCACCTATAAAAGTCTTCCCAAAGGTTTTAAGAGAGAGACTCTGTCTGTATCTATATCTCCCCCACGTCTTCCCCTATGGGCTTCCACGATACAAAGATGAGAGGAGAGGATGCAATGAACGTGGGACCCCCCGCCCTGCAGAGGAGTGCCAACTGCAGCTGGTGCGGGATGGAGCGCTGCCCGCATCCCGGGGTGGCCCAGTCTGGGGGCGGCGCGAGCTGGTGGTTCCCGGCGTCGCTGCAGCTGCTGCAATGCGCCATTTTCCGTCCCGCAGAGTTGGACACTGCGGAGGGACAGTCGGTAGGAGGTGTCGAGGACCCTAGGCCAGAGTCAACTCACATTTTTCTGACAGAGGAAGCGGAGGTCCGTCTCTCTCTGGAGAATGCAACGGCAACGAGACAGACGGGGAGACGCTGCGGATGAAGCAGACGGAACTGCCGAGCTCCGCCTCACACGAACCACCCGGAGCCCTAACTGCGGTGGGACCTACTGCAGGTGCGGCGCCGACTCCCGACTTTATTAGCAGTGGCCCCGCCTCTCGGATGACGTTAAAGTCTCTAGGTCCAATCCACGCGGGTCATGCCCTTCTGGCCCCGCCTCTACAACTATACCAATCACAGTTCTCCTCTCATTCATTCCTACTCCTTCACTGGCCAATACAATAGTGGTTTGTTTGATGTCCAGCTCAAACTCTGCCAGCCAATCGCTGAGCTGGAGGCTCCTGCCACTCTTACTTGCCCACAGCATCTGGCGAAGGGAAACCCAGGTGACCTGACGCTGGAATCTTGGGGGCTGCGGTGGTTCAGCAGTGTGTGCATTTTCATGGCACCCTGGCTAGACGAACGCCCCCTCACTCTCCCTGCCTGAGAACGTAAGGCTAGGTGTCTTTCAGGAAAGCCTCTACTAAATTAAACTTCGTCCCTAAACTGCGACTTCTAGGTTAGCACAGCGACTTAATTAAACCAGTCCAGATATCTGAACTAAATTAGACTTCCCTATTTTCGTGGGGTTTTTATTTTGTATTTTTGATATTTTTCCCTTTCTTTTTCTTCTCCTTTTTTTAAAGATTTTTTCACTTATTTTATGGTGCAAATTTTTGCCTGCATGTATGCATGCCTAGTGTCCTTGGAGACCAGAAGAGGAACTTTTATTACAGATGGTTTTGAGTGCATGTAAGTGCTGGGAACCGAACCCTGTGTCAAAGCAGTATGTTCTCAACCGCTGAGCCGTCTCTCTTCCCACCCACTTCCTTTTTACCCCACCTCCAAAAATTTATTAAGCATAATAGATTTTTTCCCTTTGTTTTTGTTTTGACTTGGTTTGGTTTTTGAGACGGTTTCTCTCTGTAGTCCTGGCTATCTTGGAACTCCATCTGTAGACCAGGCTGGCCTCGAACTCACCAAGATCCACCTGCCTCTGCCTCCCAAATGCTGGGATTAAAGGTGTGTGCCACCATGGCCAGGGCGATTTTTCCTTCTTAATATATAAAGAATTCTCTTCTTCTCCCTATAGTATCCCTTTCCTAGACACCTTTACAGATCAACATTATATGCCTCACATCTTAAAAAGCAATTATAAATGTGATGCATTTTCTTAGCCTTAGAAATTTTATTTTGCATTTATTGAAAGCTTGAGTTTGTCTGCAGTGTAAATTCTTATCTCGACCTTGGGCATTCATACAAAGGAAAATAGAAAATGTTAACATAACAATGGAACACGACAACTTCACATTCAGAGGCTTTTTATTTTTTTAACTGAGGCTCTTGTAGTCCATGCTGGTTTCAAACAAGATTTGTAGCCAAGAATGACCTTGAAATTCTGGTCCTCCTACTTCCGCTTCCTGAGTGCTGGGACTGCAGACATATACCACCATGCCTGGCTTCTGCAGTGGTTGGGGTCATACTCAGTCCTTTTGCATGCTAGCCAATCACCCTGCCACCTGAGCGACATCCCCATGCCCCAGAGGCTAATTCTCAGTAATTCATATTTTTTACTCAGATGTCCACACGTTAAATCTTTGGTGGTGCAGCATTTCCTAAGAGGCTAAAGATAGCCCTCTCCCCCCTCTGGAATCCTCTTTCAAACCTCTGGCATTCATTTTTCAAGTTCTGATGCTCATGAGCAGGTATGACAAATAAAGTGTGAGTAATACCTGACTAATAGCTACAGCAAAGCATTGCAATTTTATAGATGCCAAAATGACAAAAGAGAGAAAGGAAAAGGGGGACACCCTAGAAACAAGCCTGTGTCCAATCTTGTTACCACGGTACCTATCGAAATACCATAATCACCATACATGACATTTATTTTTCTTTTTAAAAGTCGTTACTTTAAATCCTCTTTGTTTTGTTTATGTTTTTCAAAACAGGGTTTCTCTGTATAGCCCTGGCTGTCCTGAAACTCACTTTGTAAACCAGGCTGGCTTCTAACTCAGAGATCCACCTGCCTCTGCCTTCTGAGTGCTGGCATTAAAGGCATGTGCCACCATGCCTGGCTCTTAGATCTTTTTGCCTCATGGAGGGTATGACCTGGTTTGGTTTTCTGAGATGGATCAGGCCATACTCACACTTCAGCCTTCCAAGTGATGGGATGACACTGACTGGGATTTAAAAATGTGTTCATGAGCTGACAAGAAGTAAACATGGTCCAAAGACCAATGCAAGAGAAAGCTGGTATTCCGAAAGGCAGCTGAACATTGAGCTTGATCATGGGGCCACCTGTAGCACAGGAAACAACCTAAAGGTCTTTCTCAGAGTTGGAAATCTAATATAAAGTCCCTATGTGAAGCTGGAAGCCCTATATTGACAACTAAGTTTCTAGAGTGCTAGTACTCAAGTGCTCTGCAAATGAAATTATTTGAAAACTATGTGCCCACTGAATCAATCTCTCTCTCACTCCCTCCCTTCCCCTCCCTCCTTTTGGATATTTGAATTCATAACCAACCCCAAACTATATTTTTGATACTTTTGCCTGAAATCATTGTTTTACAGGTTTGAAAGCTTTAGCATCTCCCCTTCCTAAAATTAACATGGCAAGAATTTCCAAGTGGTCTGGGGTTGACAGCACTCAGCACCTGCAAGGGTAAGCTCCCTTGCAAGAGAGGCCTTGGGGAATTTCCACAGAGACAGTTCCAAGAGAAATAAATTGTGGTCATATGCTGCAAACAAATCAGGGAAGAAATGCCAAGAATCAGAGAAGCAGAGACGGGAATTAAGGAAATTAAAAAATCATGCCAAGCAGTTCAATGTCTGAGTAATAAAGGATCCAAAAAAAGGAGAAAACAGGATATATGAGAAAAGGAAATGAATGGTTATGGAATTGATTCTAAAATAAATGCAACAAAAACTTCCAGAATTAAACAAACCTTTCCAGACTAAATAGTGGGTTCTATCTACCACAGGGAAAGAAACAAAATCACAACAAAGACGCCTCTTTCTATAATCTCAGAACAAGGGAGAAAAACAGAGAGTCTTAAAATCTTTCAAAAAGAGAATAAAAATGGAACAGGAAAGAAAATGGCATCACAATACTAGAAAACATGGCAGTGGATCTTTTTAAAACAACAATTTGCAGGGGCTAGAGAGATGCTTGGCAGGTAAGAGCACTAGCTACTCTTCCAGAGGATCCAACTTTAGTTCCCAGCACCCACATAGTGCCTCATAACCATCTGGAGTTATAGGGGACCTGACACCCTCTTTTGGCCTTCACAGGCACTGCACACACATGCCCATGGAAGTGAACACACTTCCTAAACATATACATAAAATAAATATTTTTACCTGGGCAAAATGACTATTAATCTAGTATTCTATAACATCTCGGGTATTAATAAAGGTCAGAAGAAACTGGGGCTGAAGTCATATACCTGTGATTTCCCCACATAGGAGAGAATGGACAAGAGGGTCACTTGATGCTAGAAGGTCAAATCAGTACCACCTGCTCTGACTAGATTAGAAGAAAGTACACCCTATGATAGATGGTCCCCATGCAAGACACTAATGATGTATCTGACATGCTTGGGCTTTGGAAGCTGTTTTGGTTGGTTTCTATTGCCATGACAAAGCACCATGACCTTATAAAAGAAGACATCTAATGTGTAGGGTGTTGTGGAATATTACTTTAACCATGTAAAGATGTGTTACATAGTTTTATGTTGTGAAATATTTCTTTAACTGTGTAAAGGTGTGTTACATTTGTTTATACTGTATTTGTTTAACTATGTAAAGATTTGTTATATTTGTTTAATTCTACAAAGATGTACTGCTGCTTTATCTTGCCTGCCTAAGGCACCTGATTGGTCTAATAAAAAGTCAAAGTCAATAGCTATGCAGAGGAGGGCTAGATAGGGCTAGTGAGCAGAGAGAATAAGTAGGAGGAGGAATCTAGGCTCCAGAGAAAGAGAAGATATAATGAGGTAAAAAAGAGGGAGACTCCAGGGGCCAGCCAGTCAGGCAGCTGCCAGACAGACAGACACAGAAGAAGCAGGAAAAGTAAGACATACAGAATGAAAAAGAAAGGTAAAAAGCCCAGGGGTGAAACATAGATGAAGAGGAAGCGGTTAAATTGAGTTATAAGATAAGGCCAAGCATTCATAACTGATAGTAAGTCTCTGTGTCATGATCTGGGAGCTGGTTGGTGGCCCAAAAGAAAGCCTGCTACAGGGGGCGCTCAGTTCCAGAGAATTAAAATGACAATCATGGCAGGGAACGTGGCAACAAGCTAGCTAGCTAGACCTTAACATCTGGCCCACAAGCATGAAGGAGAGAGAGAGAGAGAGAAAGAGAGAGAGAGAGAGAGAGAGAGGGAGGGAGGGAGGGACGGAGGGAGAGAGAGGGAGGGAGGGAGGCCAAACCTTCAAAGAGAGAGTTCCACCAACTAGGGACCAAGACTTAGAATATATGAGCCTATGGGAACCATTATTTAACCCACCATAGGAACTAACATGAAAAAATGTTTCACAGATCTGATAGGGCATAACTTGAGGAGAAATAATAAGACTGATTTTTAAAAAGTTTTAACTTTCATTGATGTGTTTTCCTTATAGTTATTTTATGTGTTTTGCCTGCATTTATGTCTATGTGAATGCAGTGCCTGTGGAGTCCAGAAGAGGGCGTTGGCTCACCTGAGACTGGAGTTACAGATTGCTGTGAGCTGCCCTGTGAGTACTAAGAATTAAACCCAGGTCCTCTAGCAGAGCATTCAGGGCTATTATGGGCTGAGTCATCTCTCCAGCCCCCAAACTTAAATCTTTTGTCTTTCAGAGATAGGAATAAAATAGAAATTAAAAACCTACTGAATAGGAAAAACATTTGTAGATAATATATCTGATAAACAACTTCTGACTCCCGCTGGAGGCGGGCCTAGGTCCTACCCCAAATGCTGTAACAGACTTTGATGATCCCCCATGGGAGGCCTCACCCTCCTGGAGAAAAAGTGGATAGGGGGGTGGGATGGGGGTTTGGTGCAGGGGAATGGGAGGGTGGGAGGGAGCGGGAACTGGGATTGGA